GTGAGCGGCGCGCACACACTCAACGCGGCGCCACTGGCTCCAGCATCCAGCGCGCATTCGCGTTGGCCGGGTTGCCCTCCTTGGTGATGTAGGGCGACTCCTTGTAGAGCCACAGGTAGTTGTTCCAACGCAGGTTGCGCAGGGCCCGGCTGTTGTTGGCGGCGTTGGTGATCTCGAAGGCGGCGTCCACCGGCGTTGACTCCAGCTTCACCGCGCCGGTGATCTCGCGATAGCTCAGGAACAGCTCGGGATTCACCGCCGAACGGAAGTGGCTGGAGGAGTTGCCGCCCACCTGCATGAAGTCGATCGGATCGCCAGGCCGGTTGTAGATCCAGGCGTTGTCCACCACGCCTTCCGGGGCCGTCATCCACTGCTGGTTGGAGACGCTGCGGATCCGCACCCGGTTGCTGCTGGCCGCGGCTTGCGTGGGGATGCGCCAGTTGGCGGGCGGCTGGTTCCAGTTCGAACCGGTCCAGGCCCAGTAGAAGGGCATGTGGGTGGAGGGGTCGAAGAGATCCCCATAGCCATCCTCGGCATTCAGGTTGAACAGGCACAGCCGCTGATCCGCCTCGAGCTGGGCGACCCGCTCGCTCTGGCTGCCGGAGCCCTGACCCAACCCTCGCATGCAGTCCTGCTGGGTGCGACCTTTGCCGGTCTGACCGGCACTGAGCACGTAGCTGGCATCGCGGTGGCCGGTGTCGTCGTACCAGGTGCGGACGGTGTTGGCATCGAAGCTCAGCCAGTTCTGCGCCAGCAGAAGCGCCTCGCGCTTGGCGCGGGCCTCCCGCGTCGCCAGCGGTTCGCCCATGGTGCGGATGAAGGCGGCCCACAGGTCCTTGCTGGCCTCCAGCGCCACCAGCGCGGGCACCTTCATGTTGCTGGGCCGGTAGCCGCTCCAGGTGCCGTCGAACTGCGTGCCAGGTATCCAGATCACGTCGCCGCTGACGTAGGTCAGCAGCTCCTTGTTGTCGTGGGTGTGCTGCTCGGCGCCCTCGGCGCACAGGTAGCTCTTCACCTGGCGCAGCACCTCCAGATTGGTGGCGGGATCGCGCACGGTGTGCTCGGTGCTGAAGGAGTCCTGCAGCAGATGCGCCGCCCGACCGAGCAGGTAGTAGTTGTGGTCGACGCTGTAGGCCGCGCTGTAGCCGCCTCCGTCCCAGACGCGGATCTGCATCTCCGGCGCCATCGCGGCATTCACGAAGTACTGCATGAAGCGCTCGGTGGACAGCCGCGCCGCGCGCACGCCGCCGTCACCGCCCGCGTCGTCGTAGCGCCGCATGAAATGGTCGTACTGGACTTCCGCGGGCTCCTGCGCGACCGCGTCCCAGCAATCCACCTTGCCCAGGTGGCCCTTGGTGACGTTGAAGCCGCCGATGTCCACCCAGCGCTCGCCCAGGATGGCATCGAACACGAACTGGTAGGTGGACTGATAGCGTTGATCCGCATAGGCCAGCGACCGCAGCCGACGCAGCTCGGCCTGGGCGTTGGGGGAGGACAGATCGGTGTTCTTCGCCAGGCCGCGCTGCCAGTGGCGGCGCGGGTCGGCGGGATCGGGCGGCATGATGGGATCGTTGCCGATCAACTCCATCACCGACAGCCGGGTGAGCCATTCGTGGCCCATCG